CCTGTGATAAGGATGATGGATGGAGCAGAACTGTGGCTCCAGCCAAGAAGCCCGGCAGCTTCCTCGAAACTGAGAGATACTGAGAGAGGGATGGGGCGTATTGGGCGGTGGGGTGGCTATTATTTGGTGGTGGTTGATGGGGGGAGGGTTACCACCGCAAAATTAAATAAAAGTGTGCGAAAAGTGGATGAAGAACTACAAAGATGAGTTTTTCCGGACCCCCAACAAAAAATCTATTCAAATTTTGATTTGAAAAGATGTCAGTGCGTCCAATTATGTTAGATGATGCCCAGTTTGAACTTGCTTAAATACTGTCCTGAAAGAAAAAAAAACCTACACTCAAATAATCATTTTATTAAAATGCACTGTGCATGAGGTCAATAAAAAAAACAGGGGACCTGCTGTATGTTTGAAAACAAAGACTGAAAAAATGAAATGCAAATGTAGCGTACTGAAAAGTTAAATACAACTGAACTGTGCTGAACAAATGCGGATTTGAAAAAGTTCAATATCGCTCATTCCGTGATTCTTTTGCGAGCCACAAGAGGGCGACTGCATCACACACTTTCAGGGTGGTTTATCTTCTCTCTCCTAATTGGGATTATTTCTTTTTTGCAAAGGATACTTCCCATCTTGATTTTTATTTTGTCTCATCTGGTTCGTGTCAACTTTCAGCGGACGGAACGTGGACACGAAATTCCTTAATGATTTGTTTGCCTTCTAGATAGACAAGTGTAGGAATTTTTTGATGGCTAATTTTGTTCAGTTTGGACATTTTGTTTTGGTTATGAAAGGGAGAAGATAGCATTTCCCACGCGCGCATGCACTTCCGCTATTTTGAACATGGTGGACCGACTAATGAGAATTTTGATAAGATAACCATGTGTCATTTTCATGCGATTTGTTTTCATTGCTTTTGGTTGGTTCGCTCAATAACAAATACAGATTTTTTTTTTCCACAGAAAATCAACAAAATTCCTTTTTAGCTAAGCTTCTTGAAGAAGCTTTTCTTTCATTTAAAAAAAAAGCTTTTTCAAAATTTTAAAATTAAAACATTATACATTTTTAACAAAAAAAAAAATCCTCCCCCACCTCAGAATGTAAGACTTCATTTTCTTAACAACTTCTTTAAAGATTTCAACTTTTAAGCAAATACGACACAGAAAAAAAAATAACTTTTTTTCATGGAAAACTACAACTATTTTCTAAAAATAAATATTTTAATTGAATTTAATTTTCTTGAAAAAAACAATTATTTTCTCTTCACATCTCGACTGATTTCCTTAAAAAATATTTTTTTTTTCATAAAACCCTTTTTAAAAATCTTTTTCAGTTGAATTGATTTTTTTAAGTAAGATGATACCTTTTTTTCCCTAATTTCTTAGTTGTTGTTAGCGCAACTCACACTCAAAGATCCACACCACTGACCGCCTTGTAAAAGCTACTCGAACAGCTGAACTTTATTTGGGGTTAATCAGAGGCATTGCAGATGGCGGCAGTTGTGTGCCGACTCTCATTCAACATGACTTTGAATGTGGAACACATCCCCAAATAGATGTGAGGTGGTGTGCACACTTTTGCATGTGTGTGTATCTGTTGGATTTTACTTTCACGAAGGTGCGCGTCGATGCGATGATTGAGGCGTGTTTACGGCAGGCGGCTTAAACATTTACTTTTGCACGCCGAAGGTGAAAAACGCGACAACTCTGGACGACTTCACGCCGGCCGGTGCACGGGGGCCGACATTTATGAGGAACGGGCGGCACGTGACCATGACGCCCGGACACAAAAAATGCGTCAGCTCGGGAAAATGCATGCACACTGACATGGGATCAGTTTTATGCGAGGAAAAATCAATCAATGCGCGTGACTTCCACTTGTTAGGATCTTGTTTCTCCAAGGTGTGTACCATTTTTTTCACCCTGCATAACAACAAATCTTATCTTCATTTTGAATTTTGTCATAGTCAGGACTGGGGGCATCTCAAAGGTGAAGAGCCGTGGACCTAGAGTGGCACCTTGTAGGACACCATCCCCAGCGACGCACAGGTCCATCCTGTGATTTGTACAGCCGCCATCCACCACGACTGGTTTTGTTTTTCACTTGTCTTGACACCTTTTTTCGTGAATTGAGCAAAAGAATTTGTGGCGATCACGTTATCACGTTACTTCCTGTAAAACTTAGCAAATGCCATGTGACATTGGAGAGAGACAATTAGAATTAAGCGTTTGTACAAGCGCCAGATGAGTCATTTCCAGCCTTATTGGTGCAAGTGAGGCCATTACCCTCCAATAACGTGTGTGTGTGTCTGTGTGTGTGCGTGCGTGTGCGTGCTTGAAGAGTGACAGACATGACAGCCTGGCTCAGGCTTATCTCATTGCAGGGCTGACATTAGCAATCAAGAAGGGTGTGTGTGTGCGTGCGTGTGTGTGTGTGTGTGTGTGTGTGTGTGTGTGTGTGTGTGTGTGTGTGTGTGTGTGTAAATCCTGTATTTGACCCTTTACAGTTAACTTTATAAATACTCATATACATACTTTGAGTGTGTATATTCATGAACTGCAAAGCTCGATTCTTGCTCTGGCCTTTCTGTGTGCAGTTTGCATGTTCTCCCCGTGCCTGCGTGGGTTTTCTCCGGGTACTCCTCCCACATTCCAAAAACATGCATGGCAGGTTAATGGAACACTCCTAATCTATCTGACATCGGGCAATAGGCGGGGTACAATCTGAACCGGTTGCCAGCCAAACGCAGGGCACACACAGACGAACAACCATTCGTACTCACAATCGCATCGAGGGACAATTTCGAGACTTCCATGAACCTGCAATGCATGTTTTTGGAATGTGAGAGGAAAGCAGAGTACCCGGAGAAAACCCACGCAGGCACGGGGAGAACATGCAAACTCCACACAGGAAAACCGAAGCTGGGATCAAACCCTGCAACTCTGCACACTGAGGCGGACGTGCTAACCAAGTCTATCACCGTGACGCCCACATATATGTATATGAATTAATTTCCCCAAAGAGGTTAAAGCAATCTTTTTTTTCCCCACTTCAGGATGACAAGGCAAGTCCAAGTGGATGTGGGAAAAGTGGATGGAGACTTTGAGGAGGTGACCGGCGATGAGCACATGACAGGAGGAGCAGACGAGACAAGAAAAGTCCAAAAAAGAAAAGTCATGGGAAAAAAAAAAAACAAGATGAGAGGCGACGAGAGTGATGAGGTGAGGTTGAGCCCGCGCGAAATTTCAACAGCGTTCGTAACGTCACAACCACTACGCCATCGTTTTCACATTCACGTTGGGATATTACAAGAGAAAGATGCTGTTTTTTTTCCCCCCTTTTTAAAAAAAAATTTTTTAGAGAGAAAGTGATCTTAGCCCACAACAGTACATCTCAAATGAAAAAAATTACATTTTATTGAAAATCGGCATTTTCTTTTTCAAGAGTCATGGTCCAATCATTTTTTCTTTGCAAAAATGAAGGGTAAAAATCGAAATAGATGAGAAAACAAAATTCTGGGTGAATGAAGACTTATCGGCAAAAAAAAAAAAAGAACTTCAGAACTATCCAGATTTTTTTTTTAACCAAATTATATGTGAAAAATAAAATCTATTTTTCCAAGGGGGGGAAAAATTACATTTCTGCTTAAAAAAGAAAAGTTACAACATTTGATTGAAGTCAATCATCTTTTAATAAACAGGAAATCGTTGCTCACACACACAAACCAAAACGCTGTTCGGATTAAACTCCGAAAACCTTGGAGGAAAACAACAACGTTAAACGTGCGCCAAACTTGGAGATGATTTTTTTTTTTTTTTTTTTTTTTTTGCCACTAAAGTTGAAAAATGAGGAAGCCTGCCACAGAAAGAAGAGCCACTTCTTGCTGTTTATTTCATTTGCTCTTCACGTCCAACATGAACGATTCTCCCTTTTCTCTTCTTTCTCATGCGCCGGCGCTCCCGTCCGTCGTCACAATACAGATACTCAGTGAATTTGTCTCGAAAAGCTCCTCAACCGGGATTCTTTTGGTTGTTGACAAGACACTTTTTCTCATGGTTTCATCAAGTTCGAACGCCGATCTTTTGGGATGAGTTGAAAGCTAATTTGAGCATTTCCGTCAGAAATGCTCGAACGACTTAACTCGTTTAGTGCCAGATATTTTCATTCCCTTCTTTGCCCTGCCATGTGAAATAATAAACCAATTAGAAATATACGAAGACGTACCTGGGATGAAATGCCTGGATTATTTTATTTTATTTTTTTTAAACGTCTTTTCCATTGAATGTGTTCATGATGAGCTCATCTCTAAAAACTTTTTTTGTGACTCGATGTGCATTTTGTATGGCAGTGCTGGTATGTGGTGGAGGACGGGGGGCCGAGCCCCCTCCCCCCTTGAACGGCCATTAGGGTCCCCCCGCCGAGCGAGGGAGATAAGGAGGGAATTGAAAAAGTGGAGGAAAGAAGAGAAAGAGGCTTCTCCTTCGCTATCTATCTTCTTTTCTTCCCCCCTCGTCTCTTTGAGCTTGATTAGCCTGCGAGCTTTAAGAGGCTCGTTATCAAGCTCGGAGGCCAGGCAACTTCTTCTTCTTCTTCTTCTGACTGATGACACACACACACACACACACACACACACACACACACACACTGCGTGCGTCACTGCGTGTGTGTGTGTGTGTGTGTGTGTGTGTGTGTCCTTGACTGATGTGGAGTCATGATGCCAGAATGCGGTCAAGCGATCGGTCGCGTCGGTGGACCTGAGGGACTCCAACATGTCTGCCGGCCGCTTTGCGTCCGTTCTCATATTTTTTTCTCTCACGTCAAGCGACCGGTCACTCTGTTCATGTAAAACATAAAAATCGCCATTTTTAGGAGTAAGATTGTCCAAGCAGGAGACAAAAAGTTGAGTTATCGCTGTTAGCGCTCATGCTAAATGAAAATGAAAAACAATGACAATTGCTTAAGATGCAAGTTTTGGGAATTGCCAAGAAACTTTGGTCAATGTCTAAAGATGAGTTGTAGACGTTAGTGCAAATGGTAATTGAACTGAAATGACAAACCCTCAAAATGCACATTTTGAGAATTGACAATAAAAAATAAAAAAAAACATTAAAATTGACAAAAAATCGAGGTCAATAAAAATCATTCTCATTTTGAAGCATCAAGATCTGTTTTAAGCATTTCGACAAACGCTTAAACAAAATGTGAAATCACGATTCCTCAAAAAAGTAACGCAAATGAAAGTTCCCAAATGACTTTCCTTCTTCTGTTTGGCCAAACAGAAAGACCGAAAGCACGAAAAACATTTTCGTGACCGTTACAATTAATTTTAGGTACTTTTATGAACTGAAGCTTCAGTTCTCTTTTTTTCACCTCAGTGGTTTTTTTTTTTAAGCACTCTGGTTGTCAGGACGGCTTTAACGTTCCCAGCCGTCCCACTGATGCATCTGTCCGGCTCGCTTTTGTTTATGGCGTCAAGAATGTTAAGGCTACACGTTAGCCTTGGCTACTTCACGTGTGCGATTGTGTGCCCCAAAAGTGGCCTGCTGAAAAAAGAAGGCGGGGGAGGGCTGGGGGGCAATTTGGCCATCCAATCGGGTGCAGATCTGGTGAATTTTGCTGGCTGTTTAGTCTAGCAATCACCATGGTGACAAGGAGTCTAGCTTTAAGGATTTTTTGGAAGGTGGGGCAGGAGGGGGGGTACAGCAAGTGAGGACGAATGGGGGGCGTGGGTCAGGGTAGTTAGAGGCGCTCCGGGTCAGCCAGGATTAAACGGCGTCCTTCAAACCAAACGTGTGCAATTGCACTCGTTTGGTCCACAAGAGAAAAAAAAAACGTTTCAACAAAAACTAAAAACTTGTCCCCCCAAAAAATGAAAAGTTGAGTTAGAAAATATCAAAGAAATGATCTTGGGTTAGAATTTTCATCTTGATTGAGATCTTTCTCCTCTGAAACTTTTTTTTGTTTTGGTTTTTGTGAGAACAATCTTTTCTTTTTGAAGAACAAGTTTTCTGAATTTTTTTTTTTAAATAAATACCTCGTAAAACATATTTTCCCCAAAATTGTCCAAAAATTAAAAAAAAAAAAAAAAACATTTTTAAGTGCGTACCCACTAAATATAAGATTCCAAGGAATAAATTGGACAGATGTTACAGCCACAATGACACGACTAAAGATTAAAATGATGACAATGAATGTTTTTTTTTTCCTCAAAAAATTTTATCTGTTCACATTTTTGAGGGGGTTGGAGGGGGCAATTCGTGCAAAATATCAGTGATGTCAAGGTCGTTGAAAAAGCATTTACAATCCATGCAGCGCTACCGAAACGGCACGCAACCTCAGTACAAGTCATCGGGTGAAGGTTGCGTGGAGCGGCCCAAATAAAAGGGGGGTGTCAAGGCTTGTGTCGCACAGCCATAGAAAGGCACGCACGCACGAACGCACGCGCTCGGCTGGTCTGGACAGTTTTAAGTCTGTGCTGACAGTGAAAGGCAATTCCTGAGACTTGGTTCTCGGCCAAGCACACTTTTGATTGGGAGCCGTCTGCATCCGCGCTCACGTTTTTTCACACTCGTCCTCTTGTCTACACTTCGCCATGAGCTCATGTGTTTTTGGTCGAAGGCCCAAATGTTCCCCCGAGAAAAGATCCAAACTAACACGGATCAACGCGCGTGTGTTTTTTGGCCACGGATAGCAGCAAGTCAAATACGCGTGAGCAAGAGTTATAGATCGTCTTCAGCCTTTCAACGAAGCTCGAGATGCACTTTGCGGCGGCCGTATATCACCGCGCTAACCCCGCTAATGACCGCGCGATGGAGGAAAAAGCTCTCCCCCGTCGTCCGATACTGACCCCCAGTGGACGATGACTGAATCGTCACAAGGATTCCCCGAAACGGACTTAAGAGGACGACACCAATTGGAAAAATTGCACGACCAAAGTGACATTGTGATCGTGAGTTCGGCAATTTCAACACCATTATTTACAATAGCAAGGAAACAAAGGCTAAAGCCTCATTTTAAATAATAGTCCAAATAAAATTAGGGTGGATAGTACTTGAAAAAGGTCATACTAAAAAAGACGAAAGTCAATTATCCAGAATCACTGAAGAAGTTGGATTAAAAAAAAAAAAAATCTGTAAAAATGTCATACTTTGAGGAGGGGGGGGGGAAACGGATTCTTTTCAAAGCCAATCATATTTTTGGAAAAAAAATGTCAAGGTATAAATTGTATGTTACCCGAAACAAACTCACTTTTAAGGAATATTTTTTAAATATTCTTTTGTTTTAGAAGTATTTTTTTAAGATTTCCTTCTCCATGAACAACGTTGTGTTTTTGAGAAATAAAACCATATTTAAAAAAAAATCAATTGCTTTTTTTCCAGCTTTTTTCCTTCGCATAGTTTTTTAAAAACTTTTTAATTGTTGCACCTTTTGTTTTGCAAAAGACAGTTTTCATCCTGCATTCTACAAACGTATTAAACTCCAATTTCAAGTTCACAATTATTACTTTTTTTTAACCGTCATAAAAAATAAAAAACTAAACAGATCTTGTAAAAAGAAAACCTTTTTCAAAATCATTTTTCTTCTGACATTTTGACTTTAGTCTCAGAAAAATATCGCTTCTTGTGAAATCACAACTGAAGGGCCTCCCTCCCAATCATGCACATTGCAACTTATTTTGTCACTTGCGATGTCACAACCTTTTGCTTTTATTTTGTAAAACAAGTTTCTAAGCTGCCTTGATGCCCTTTTATTTCCTGGAGTCAACATTTCTTCCAAAATGGCAACTTTCAGTTCCACAAATTCACTTCTGTAAAATCCCCCCGCCCCCCTCTCGAATCGGACCTGCTCAAACCGTTCCGAACGTTGTCGCTGAATTTGCCCAGGAGGCCTGTCGTCTACCGAGAGGCCTGAATGTTTTGATTGACAATCTCGTTCTGATTGAAATAGACGGCCAAATCAGCAGGAGTCCGAAAAGTCTGGGCCCGTGCGCCCCTTTGCCCTCGACCCTCGCCCTCCCCTTCGCACGCACGCACGGCCGCAGTTATCAGACGCTCCCCGCTGCCGTTGTTTTCAGAGGTCAGAGTTGTTTGTTTGCCCGCAGGCTCGCGCTGTGATAGTCCGACTACGCCTGAGCGCCCCACGCATATGTCGTCGCCCCCCCCCCCCCCCCACC